TTTGTATTTCCCTGATGACGAGTGATATGGAACACTTTTTCATGTGTCTGTTGGCCATCTGGATGTCTTCTTTGCAGAAATGTCTGTTCATGTCCTCTGCCCATTTCTTGATTAGGTTATTTGCTTTTTGGGTGTTGAGTTTGATAAGTTCTTTATAGATTTTGGATACTAGCCCTTTATCTGATATGTCATTTGCAAATATCTTCTCCTACTTTGTCAGTTGTCTTTTGATTTTGTTGACTGTTTCCTTTGCTGTGCAAAAGCTTTTGATGTTGATGAAGTTCCAATAGTTCATTTTTGCCCTTGCTTCCTTTGCCTTTGGCGATATTTCTAGGAAGAAGTTGCTGCGGCTGAGGTCAAAGAGGTTGCTACCTGTGTTCTCCTCAAGGATTTTGATGGATTCCTGTCTCACATTGAGGTGTTTCATCCATTTTGAGTCTGTGTTTGTGTGTGGTGTAAGGAAATGGTCCAGTTTCATTTTTCTGCATGTGGCTGTCCAATTTTCCCAACGCCATTTGTTGAAGAGACTGTCTTTTTTCCACTGGACATTCTTTCCTGCTATGTCAAAGATTAGTTGGCCATAGAGTTGAGGGTCCACTTCTGGGCTCTCTATTTTGTTCCATTGACCTATGTGTTTGTTTTTGTGCCAGTACCATACTGTCTTGATGATAATAGCTTTGTAATAGAGCTTGAAGTCTGGAATGGTGATGCCACAAATTTGGCTTTCTTTTTCAACATTCCTCTGGCTTTTTGGGGTCTTTTCTGGTTCCATAAAATTTTAAGATTATTTGTTCCATTTCTTTGAAAAATATGGATGGTATTTTGATAGGGGTTGCATTAAGTGTGTAGATCGCTTTAGGTAGCATAGACATTTTCACAATATTTGTTCTTCCAATCCATGAGCATGGAACGTTTTTCCATTTCTTTGTGTCTTCCTCAATTTCTTTCATGAGTACTTTATAGTTTTCTGAGTACAGATTCTTTGCCTCTTTGATTAGGTTTATTCCTAGGTGTATTATAGTTTTGGGTGTAATTGTAAATGGGATGGACTCCTTAATTTCTCTTTCTTCTGTCTTGTTGTTGGTGTATAGAAATGCAACTGATTTCTATGCGTTGTTTTTATATCCTGACACTTTACTGAATTCCTGTATAAGTTGTAGCAGATTCGGAGTGGAGTCTTTCAGGTTTTCCACATAAAGTATCCTATCATCTACAAAGAGTGTTGGATCACAGTTTAAGGTATCCCCGAGCTGAGAGTCCCCTCCTCAGCTCCATCTCTGTAATTGGCTTCCCCGCTCCAATACCTGGGAGGTCTGCCACACTCAGACACCCCTGGTCTTTCTGTGACTCCGCAGGTCCCGAGACCACACTGTCCCCGTGAGGGCTCCACCCCTGCTTAGCCTCTGGAGTGATGTCCTTCAGTGGAGCATGCTTGTAAAAAAGTTCCAGTTTTGTGCTCTGTTGCTCTCACGCTTGCCAGGAGCTGGCGCCTCCCCCTGCAGTCTATCTTCCCATATGTCGCCTCGGATTCACTTCTCCGCACGTCCTACCTTTCGGAAAGTGGTCAATTTTCTATTCCTAGGATTGCTGCTCTTCTACCTTCTGTTGAATTTGTACGTGTTTAGAATGGTTTGATAACTATCTAGCTGGACTTCTAGGACCTGATGATATTTAGGTCTCCTACTCCTCCACCATCTTACTCCTCTCTAGATTTGGCCTCAACATTTTTAATAAAGTGGGACAAAGAGTCATTTACTAAGAGTGAAGGAGGCATGCAGAGTGTTTGGGGCTGGATTGTATCCCCCAGAATTTATATACTGAACTCTTAACCCCTAATACCTCAGAAGGTTACTGTATTAGGAGAGAGAGGTAATTAAGGTACAATAAGGTCATTTAAGGTGGACCTTCATATGACAGTGTCCTTCTAAGAAAAGGAGGTGAGGATGCAAACACATACAGAGGAGAGATCATGTGGGCTCCCCACAAGAAGATGGCCATCTGCAAGCCAGGGAGAGATGCCTCGGGAGAAACCTGTCAACAGTTCCATCTAGCCTCCAGAACTGTGAGAAAATTCATTTCTGCTGCTTACACCACCCAATGGTACTTTGTCGTGGCTGCCCAGCAGATGAGTACAGGGAAGAACGGAAGACTCGGACATGTAGGAGACATTTCTAACAGCCAATGCAGGGAGTACCGTAACGAGTGAAGATGAAGGTGGAAGGAATGATTGCTGAGGGCTGATTTGTGTGTAAGTGAGTTCAGATGCTGCTATGGGTGGGCATGGGATTGCTCAGCTGGGCTTCATGTGTGAGTCCTTGTGTGTGTGTGTGGGGGGGGTATATATACAAACACACTGGTATATATCAGGTTTCCATTCATCTTCCATTTATAAAGATGTGATATGAACATGTTTGATTTAGGAACTTGTCTGGTGATCAATGCACACATAGGATAAGTGATTAATCTGAAAACTTTGGAAAGTATTACAGCAGGGCTCTGAGCTCCTAGCTCAAAGGCAAAAACAAAACAAAACAAAACAAAACCCACAAAAAGCCAAAAAACACCCCAAACGAAAACAGGGTGCACTTAGTATCTTTTCCTTCCCCAGCTCTCAACCACTCCTTCTGCTCTGTTCTATTTCTACCTGCTTGGCTTCATATTCAGCCTTCCCTTGGGAAAGGCAGATCCTCAAAGAAAACCACCATGTGATGATACATAATGTGAAAAATCTTTGTTTCCTGGTGATCTTTGGGGGGTTGTCTGACCTTGGGAGAGGAGAAATAAGCCGGTGGCTTCGCTTCTCTGCTCCTGAGAACTGTCTTGGGGCCTCTTCTCTTCCCTGCCAGCCCCCTGAGACCCTCCCAGGGCTGGCTTTAAGTGTAGGGAGTGGCCGTGGAGCAACTATGCAGGACTGAGCTCTCCTTGAGGGTTCAGGGTTTGCGTGAGGTCAGTCTTGCCACTGAAAAGGGAATCCAAATGATCAAATGTGATTTTGTGGGGGGGGACAGTGGGGGAGTCTTTTAAAGTTCTTCTTTTTTTTCTTTTCAGGACACATGCATAGATTTTAGCAAAAGTCTCTGTCAGATCTCCTGTTCTGATATTTTGCTCATCAAGCATGTTTCATTTATAGGTAAAGCATGGGATTTTTAGGGCTGTGAAACTTCTGTATGATCCTGTGATGATGGACACCTGTCTTTGCACATTCTATGGATTTTGACAAGTATAAAACACAAAGAGTAACTTTAATATAAACTATGGGCCTTAGTTAAAATAATGTATCCATATCGGTTCACCATCTGTAACAAAGGTACTACACCAAAACAAGATGGGAGGGAGAGGGCGCAGTTTCTGTACTTTCTGATACATTTCTCTATAAGTCTGTAACTGCTCCATAAAAGTAACACCTGTAAAAATAAGGGAAAAAAAAATCAAGGTTCATGTATAAATGTTACCCCCTCCTTTTTATTCCCTATCTCCAGATTCTTCCCCACAATAACTGAGTCCAACTTTGGAGACATGCTTCTTTGGGTGAAATGTCCCCTTTCCAGCCTTTTAACTAAGTTTTGTCTTTTCCCTCCTTCCCCCTTCCCCCTCTTCTTTTGTATTAATGGCTTGGGGGGGTGGTTATTGGGGTTGGTTATTCTCGTGCAGACCCCTGTGGAGAGATATTGGAATCTTGCCTCAAGGCTGAGGTATTCCTTTGTATCAACAACCTGAGACAAGTGTCCCTCAGGGTGGATAATGAGTCTCTGTAAGCAGGGGAAGGGCACTTCAGGGGGGTTGGATGCCTGCAAGGTGCTCTTGTAGTCAAATGCTCTACCAAAGAGCTATACCCCCTGCAAGGTGCTCTTGGATGGGAGGTTTTAAAGGTGATGCCTGGAGGCAAGCTGGAGGTAGAGAAGGAGCAGTCCAGGTGAGACTTCTTTGCTCTGGAATCTTCTGTGGACAGTCAGCTCTGGTCGTCTAGCCATTGGTTCCTCTTTGTGACTATTTGCCTCTTATTGTGCTCTGGCCTTTAGTACAAAGACTTCTTCAGAGCTCCTAACCTAGAGAATGAAAGGAAGGGATTTGGTCCATACTTGGGTATGAGTGTCAAAGGGGCAACACTCCCCTTCCTGTTGTGATGAAGCAGGTACCCATGTGGGCCCTAGGAGAATGTGAAGCTTAGGAACATATAAAGCTGTGGGGTCTGGGACATTATCCTACTAATCTTGAGGTATTGATTTATTTTCTTATGAGAAGTGGTCTTTTCTTACATAATGTCTTATGTTAAGAGATTATATATTAAGTACAAGATTCTTTCTCAGAAATTGCAAAGAGGCTAGACCAGAAAGGATGAGACTCTAGAGTTCATTCATACACAGTAGAGGTGACACCGGAAGATCAAACTTGCCTGACTTTCATTGATGCCAATGTCTTCCCATGGGGGTTTTATGTTGCTGGAACTAGCCTACCCCTGCACATCTGCTCCTGGAGAAGTTCATTTTCTACCTGCATATGGATAACATGCGGGGTTCCGGGCTTCTCTTGCTCTGGTCTCCCTATGTACCTATTGTTTCAGAGTAACAAGTCAGTGAGCTGAGTTACAGGGGAGGAAAATTGTCCCCATAGGAGGAAGGAAGCAGCCATCCCAAATGCCAGGGCCAGTTGGCCAAGGCACTAGTTCTTACTGTAGACTGTGGAAAATGCAATGCATGTGATCTTGTTGCCTGTGAGAAAAACAGAGAAAGTTAATTTCTGGAGGGTCTGTAACTTCCAAACATTATAGTTTTGGAGCTGAAAAGTAAGCAAAAATGATTTGAGGCAGATGAGTTTTTCATGCCCTCAGGAAGGTATGCACCATGCAGCCAGCTTCTCTGGATCTAGGATAATCTAAAACTCGGGTGTGGGGAGCAAGTGAAGGACTGCAGTGGACTTGGAGGGCAGGGCTTCTTCCACTGAAAGAACTCTTTCCAGTGGACTCTGGGTTGAAAACCAATAGCTTTCCTCCTAGCCAACCTTCAATCTCTGTCTTTTTCTCTCTCCCTTCCATTCTATATCTATCTATCTATCTATCTATCTATCTATCTATCTATAGCTAGCTATCTTTCTATCCATCCGCACATCCATCATCTAATTTTTCTAGTTTTGTTTTTTTTTTTCCTTTTCGAGAAATGTCAGGGTCTGTAGGAAGGTGCAAGTCACTACTCCTTGTGCCTGTTGATTTAGGACTCTTGGTACATTTCACTCTGTGAAGCTGTAGATACAAAGTTGAATCAGGTGAAGTTCAGTAGAAAATGATTACTGCTTTGCAGTGTCTATTAAGTGGCACCTTATAGGACCTGAAATCCAGACTATTTTATAAAATGGGCCTCCAACTATACCTTTTGGAGAAAAAAACCAGCTTCTTTTCACATGGTATTATTCAAACGGAGGCATAGCAAATAGTTCTTTAGAAACAAGTAATTGCCACCATCGAAAACAAGGTAATATGAGCGTAACAACACATATAAGCATTGTCTATGCTGATTTGATTAAGCAAGAGAAAAATGATTACTTTATTCATTTTGCTATCCGTGAACATCCTGGTAGAATTGAGAAACATGGTTGGAGCTCGGAAATATTGGGCGGGGGTAGAATCATAGTTTTTTGTTTGTTTGTTTGTTTTTGAGAGAGAAAGAAAGACAGTGAATGGCAGGGAGGGGAGGAGGGAGAGAGAGAATCTTAAGCAGGCTCCATGCCCAGTGTGGAGCCAAACATGGGCTCGATCCCACAACTCTGAGATCATGACCCGTGCTGAAATCAGGTGGCTTAACCAATTGAGCCACCCAGGTGTCCCCAGAATTACAGATTTTTAAAGACATGTTTGCTATGGGGACTCTTGCTTTTTACAAATCTGAGCAGGAGTTCCCATAGCTTCAGGCTTCTGTGCCATTCCTCTTGCATCCTTTCCCTGTCAGATCTCAGTCAGTATAATCTGGGGCTGCTTAGTGCAGCTGAGTTCAGCCAGCCCTGCCCATATCCCTTGTGACCTTCAGCTTCCTTTTAGTTGACCTTTTGGAGTTTAAAGTTTCAGGAGAGATACTTTGAGGGGGATTTGTGTAGAAGCAAAAAGACATGTTCCTAGAGATCATGAGCGAGTGGGTAGAGCCTGTGAAGAAACTGCTTATGATGAGGTCAGAACCTTCTCATACATGCCTCCATCCATCTCTCTATCCATGGAGGCATGTATCCATTCATCCACTCATGCACGCCGTTCATCTACCATCTGTGCATCTGCCCACCGATGCATCCATCTGCACTTCCATCCTTCTATCTAGCCATCATCCATCTGCCCCTATAGCAAAGGGAGAACACAAATTCCATGATTTTGGAGATATTTAAATTGATTTTTCTGCCTTTTGGGTAGCTATGATTCAATGCATAAAACATTAAAGATTAGTGTACTGTATCAAAATTTTAAACCTTTTTTTAAACAGTGAACCTCAGAAGAGACCTCATATCTGAGATAAATACATAGCCATCTGAAAAGGCATCTGGATCTCTGCTACACAAATACCCTCCTCTCAACTACTGTGGCGCCTTCACAAGATCCCTTGACTACCTGGAGCACAGCTTACAGACTGCTATGCTTTGGTATAAAACGAAGTATTGACGATGTGGTTTCGGCAATTGATCTTGGAGTGATAAGGGAAGGGAGAGGTCACTGGGAGGTAGAGATTTTGGAGGAAGTGTTTTGAAAGAGGTGGTGTGCCTTGAAAGGGAAGTCATATTTTGATCCATGAAGAGGACGTGGGGGACACACTGCTTGGCATGGTAGAGGCATAAAGGAGGAGATGGGGTAGAGGCAGAAAGGTTATCAGTCAGGGTCCAAGGAGGAAAAGATGGCACAGTAAAGCTGAGTAATTGAGAGTGTATTAAAGGGGTAATTGACAGAGCTACAGCAGGTTTGGGGAAGACAATAAAGGATAGTGTGCAATCTTGAAGCTGGTGCAGCTTCGAACAATTATGGGGGAGGGGTTGTGTGTGTGTGTGAGTGTGTGTGTGGTGTAAGAGGAAGTTGTCACTCCTGGACCCAGGGAGAGAGCTGGACCACCTAACAGGATGTGTGGCCTTCAGCTGAGGGATGCAGGGAGAAGTTCAACGAGGAGGTCAGGGAAATAAATCGCCCACTTTGCTCTTTCTCTCCTGCCATTTCATTGACCAAACCAATTGGAAGCCAGAAACCAAGGAAACCTATAAAGATTTACCTCCCAAAGTCCAGAGAATGGTGGAGAAGGGATCTGGAGGGACAGACAAAAAATAGCCATATATAGAGTAATTGGGTTAGAACCCAAGGACCTGTTACCAGTTAGCTCTTGCTTCAGTAATGCTGTGTAATAAACAACCCCCAAATCTCAATGGAACATATGTTTCATGGGTCTGTGGGTTGGCCAGGTGGCTCTGCTGAAGGCTCTGGAGGTTGAGGTGGCTTTGCTTCTCACTGCAGGTATGTCTTAGTTGGGGCCATTTTGTTCCATGTGTGTTCTCTCTATAGCCCAGGCTGCCGGGGCAGCAGCTACCCAGGGGAGGCTTGTCAGGCCTGGCATGGCTCCTGCTCCATGGCACAGGAATTGATTTTATTTTTAAAAAATATTTCATTTATTTATTTGACAGAGATAGCACAAGCAGGTGGAGCGGCAGGCAGAGGGAGAGGGAGAAGCAAGCTCCCTGCTGAGGGAGGAGCTGGACGAGGGGCATGATCCCAGGACCCTGGGGTTGTGACCTGAGCTAAAGGTAGCTGCTCAACCAACAGAGCCACCCAGGTGCCCCAGGAATTGATTCTAAGACACCTATAATTCTCTGTAGTTTCCAGCCATGATTTGGTGGGTCATGGCAATGTTTCACATGTAAAGAGTACAGTAGTGGCGCCTGGGTGGCTCAGTGGGTTAAGCCTCTGCCTTCTGCTTGGGTCATGGTCCCGGGGTCCTGGGATCGAGTCCTGCATCGGGCTCTCTGCTCAGCAGGGAGCCTGCTTCCCTTCTCTCTCTGCCTGCCTCTCTGCCTACTTGTGATCTCTCTGTCAAATAAATAGATAAAAATCTTAAAAAAAAAAAAAGAGTACAATAAACTCTGGCACCAAAGATTAGAAGACTGGCCAAAGGA